TACGAAACTACAACCTGTTTCTTTTTGACGGGTACGTCAGTTTATTTAAATTTATTATGAATTTCGCGCAAAGCTACACGAGGGCTATCTGCGCTAGCCGTCCCTAATTTAGCAGTGTAAGACTAGAGGGAAGGCAGCTAGTCATCACCACCCACCGCCAACTCTTGGGCTACTCTTTTACCAACGAATAGTGGGATTGACCGGACTTATAACGCCCTTACGGCTGAAAGGGCGAGCATGTTCGGTGGACGGGGATACGAACCCGCGACCCTCAGATTGCGAGTCGAGTACCCTAACCACCTGGCCAGGGTACGTCAGTTAGTGCAATATATATGTACGCTTCACACTTCAATGAAGTTGCCCCAGGAATATCGGGTCATACGAGAACCTGTTGGCATAGGAACTAGGAAGTTTTAATGACGATCATATATGTCCTAACACTGTAGTACACGCACGGAGTTTCTGTTCAAAATAGCACAATTTTGTTTAAAGCTGGAACTGTTACGACGTCAAAACATCAAATGTGCCTCGAATATAAAAGTACTGTGTATATATATATATATATATATATATATATATATATGTGTGTGTGTGTGGGAAGATTGATCGTCACAAAAACTTTTTCGAAAAAACAAATAAAAACCAATGTTTCTATTTTTATAACGAAATATTTGAAGTGTTCGTATGACAATAAAACCAAAATCCCTGAAGCATATTACAACAACTTTAAAAAATAAAGTACGCAGACAGGTTTTGTAAACGATGGTATATATATTTGGGACAGTTTTCACGCAGTTCCTCAAAGGGTTATCTGCCCCTAGCAGTCCTTAATATGTAAACCATAGATTAGAGGGGAAGCAGTAACAGGTCACAAACCATAAATGCTTGGATTCACAAATAAGCAGATTAATCATCGAGCCACGCCAAGTCCATTTTATGTACAATATTTTTCTGCAAAACATCAGTAAAATGTGATAAATATAAATAATTTTTATTCGTTAGGTGGTATTAATAAAGAGGAAACAGAAATGCTCTGGAAGACAAGCCAACACCTAATTTTGTAATGGGTACAGTAAAAGAGCTCACACAGCACAACGAACCAGTGCCAAGTATACCTTCTGGGTGAGAAAACAAGCAACTGCGGTTTTTAATTAAAGCTGTTTTATAACTGAACAATTTAGCAAGTATTGCAAAAATAGCACTGTATTTAGTATTTATAAGTTGATGAACTTTCTGTCACCATTCAGTATCACTTATAAAATATTTGCCGGTAATGTATGCCAACTGAAATTCATCCTTGTACGGAAAGTTATTTTGTCTTGCTTATATTTAGATAAACAACTTTTCTATGAGGCATATGACAAAAATAGCTTTTCTTTTTACCTTTATTGAGCAGTAACAGTTTCATAATTATTTTAATGTCAATACAGCCATTTTTACAAACAAAACCATAGTTGTATTCGTGTGAATTCAGGTGATAATCCTGGTATAAGATGGTCAATTAATTTGCTTTCACTCCAAATAAAATTTTTTTCATCATGACTTACAGTATTACAGTAAAACTACAGGTTCTGTTGGAGAGTTCTGTAATACAATGTATTCATTTTAAATATTCTTGAACTATTACTAAGGAATGACTTGCAGTGTTACATTCAGATTCTATTGGAGAGTTCAGTCAGTTACAAAAAAAGGCAGTTTAATTCACAGGTTTTACTTAAATATTGCAAAAATACTTCATAAAATGTAAAACATTTGGTAATTTTTTCAATCAGGTATTTTTCAGATTAGCTTGCTCAAACCCTAACAGTTTTCACAAGCATTAAGTACACAGTTTCTAAAAATAACAATATTTCTATAATAATTCTGTAAAATAGTAAACAAAAGCTTAATAATTGAAGAATATGTGATAACTGAACAAAATCTTAAAAACTGAAGTACAATAATATGGATCAACAACAGTACATGTACATGTATGATACAATAATATGGATCAACAACAGTACATGTACATGTATGATACAATAATATGGATCAACAACAGTACATGTGCATGTAGATACAATAATATGGATCAACAACAGTACATGTGCATGTATGATACAATAATATGGATCAACAACAGCACATGTGCATGTATGATACAATAATATGGATCAACAACAGCACATGTGCATGTATGATACCATAATATGGATCAACAACAGCACATGTATGATACCATAATATGGATCAACAACAGTACATGTATGATACCATAATATGGATCAACAACAGTACATGTATGATACCATAATATGGATCAACAACAGTACATGTATGATACCATAATATGGATCAACAACAGCACATGTATGATACCATAATATGGATCAACAACAGCACATGTATGATACCATAATATGGATCAACAACAGCACATGTATGATACCATAATATGGATCAACAACAGCACATGTATGATACATATGCATTTGACTGGAAGTTTGTAATTCACACATTCAACACTTACTGTACTGCTCATTCATTTATAAAAAAAAAACCATCTGAAATAGCACACACTAATAAACATCAGTAATATCGAACATCAGAAACAAACTGAATGTAGTAAATGTAAGTTGTTAAAATATCAATTAATCTGATACTTTTTACAAATCAAGGGTTAAAAAAAACATGGATGGGGGACAACTGACCTCTGATCCCTTGAAATTCAGTTTTAAATCACTATTTAAAAAACTGATAAATGTAGTTCTTGTACAGAAAACAAGATAACAACAAAATGTTTACAATATTTTGAAAAATACACCAATGTTTATAGTTTCAAATATTTATCAGCTAAGATCAATCAGAATTTATCAAGACTGATATATCATGTAAAGGAACTGTACACAAATGATACCAGGATGAGCCCTACCCATATTTGTTTGACACAAGAGCAATAAATGTGCTCAGTTTGTATGAGAAAGTTTAATAACACAAGAAATTTTAATTTCTCAAACTAACTTGCTCATCTCATTTTCAAAGTTCACTTTTGAAATATTCAGCATTGAAAAGATAATTTTCAAGGCACTTAATATTTGATTATGAAATATCAGGTAATACCATCAATTGTTTTTAGAAAAAATATTTTTATAAGCATTTGACAACCAAAAAATTCAATTACCTGAAATATTCTCACCAAATTAAACCTTATATAATAATTCTAAATAATACTAATTTCTAAACATTACAAGCTTGACTTTCATAACTTCTATCATAACTAACCGATGTAGCCATTCAATAAGCATGGAACACACAGGAACCCCCAGTAGTAAAACGAAAGGATCAGATCCAAATGCCTGTATTACTCCCTGGGAAGCTGAATTATTTAGTTTTCACATAAACAAATTTTAAAAACCACATGAAAGAATACTTTCACACAACTGTTGATTACAGAAGTTTGACTACACTGTAGCATCTTAAAAAAACAGGACCAACATAATGGCTCAATTTTTTATAGCAAGATAAAACACAAGACAATATACATATTTTGTGTGTGTGTGTGTGTGTGTGTGTGTGTATAATTACCCAGTACAAGTACTATTTCATAAACATTCTGAAACAAATAACTATAATTACATGAAAAAAAAAAATCAAACTTCTGTTAATCTGTATGGCACATCATGAATTGAACACAAAATAAGCCAAAAATACATTGTTACATATTTCAAAAATTCAAAATCTTTGGAAAGAGCAAAGTTAACTCTTTTTCAACAAATAATAAAATGATAAATTGTTAGTAGTGTTATTAATACACACCATAAATTTATATTAGACCACCAAGTACCAAATCTATAATTATAATAGTTCAAGTACGAAATCTCTTACTTAAAACAAGTGTTATCTACACTTAATTATATATATACATACTGAATTGTGTATTCTACCCTCTTTGAAATAGCATTACATGAATACGTCAAGCACATTTAAACATATGGACTACTGTCAGCTATATAAATTTCAATTCACAGAATAAGACAATTAAAAAAAGAATTAGGTCTTCTGAAGACTTAATGGCAAAAGTCTGTATTCTCCAGCACTTATATGTAGTAAAATACTCCTGAAAACAGTTTTAATGCTTGTAATAATCTATATCTACAAGTATACCATTATTAAGATTGAATGCTTGTGTACAAACCAGTGAGAAACAAAAGTTATTAAATAGAAAAAATAAGGTTGAAAACAAAGATTGAAATACTTCGCCAGAAAAATTATCAAATTTCTTCACTGTCTCTACAAGAATACAGACCTATAAACAATTAAAAATTACATTTCCAGAAATACAAGGCTTGAAAGATTCGGAATTTTTACCTGCTCAGCTGTCAGAAAGAACATCAACAGTATGTATAATTTAATATTAGGAGTTCTTTCATAACTATTAGCAACTTCTTCTGCATTAAAAAAAATTCTTAAACATTTATGTACTAGGAAGATTTGTATCATTTCAAATCAAGTTATTCAAGTGACTAGCTTTTCACATGCATCCAGAAATTAGTGTAAACTTTTATATTTTTAATACATATGAGATAAGCTCATTATGCATCCTAAAATCTTACATTCAATTATAAAGTTCCAATATAAACCTACAGTAACTTCTAAAGCAGTATACAAACTTCATGCAATAATTTGTCCAATTGCTGGTTCAAATCAGTTTCAATAAACATGAAAACAAAGTTGTGCATGCAACACCTTGTACTCTCCAAAAGTTAAATGTTTTGAAAACACATTAATAATATCAAGATAATTTTGATGCTGATTAATGTAAAAAACTTTTTAAAATATTAACTACAACATTAACTTTTCTTCAACTTAATACTAAATATAAAAATGAAGAACTACAAGTCTTAGTTTTCTCAGATAGCCAATTGCTAAACTAAAAATATGTTAAAACTAGTGAGTTTCAAATAAGACATTTTCTAAGTAAAAACAAGACAAAATTTTCAGACACTATGTTAAGACAAAATTTAAATGAACAAACTCTAATCAGTGTCATAGTAGCAGGTATTAAACCTTCTGATGAAGAAACTACACATTCTAGATGTCACACACCCCAGATGCATGTTTTAAAATACTGTTTAGGACCATACTCGTTTTATTTGCCACTTTCATTTTTGATATTTCAAAGGAAAGTGTGCAATTTAGTTACACCTGTCTTGGCTGTTTATACACACACACACACACACATATATATATATATATATATATATATATATATAGAGAGAGAGAGAGAGAGAGAGAGAGAGAGATTGCAAAAGATTTGACCAAACACATAAATAACCTTACAAATAGATTGAATATTTCTCAAGAGCAACAACACATATTAAGTATAATGTACAAAATGATTTGACAGGTACATAATAATATACTAGTCTTTTTTTTGAAAAATGTAACAACTGTAAATGAATGTACACACAAGTCATACAGTTCTCAACAAGATGTTGCCACACTAAAAGTAACAATGTCCTTATACTCATGATAAGACTTAAAAGTAAAGTAACCATTTTACAAATAAGTGAGAGAAAAACTTCAAGACATTAAACAGTAAAGAATTGAGGAGAACAAAGTGCAGTGTAATTTTTTCTAAGGTCAGAAGAACTTTTATATGAAATAGAATTATATTTAGTGATAAAGCTATACATCAGACTTTTATATAACATTATACAATCCCCTATTTTATATTCCCTCATTCAGACGTGCTAAAATGTTCTTAAGTTGGGTTTTATTTTATGTAAAACAATTTTCCAGAACATCATAACAAAATCCACAGACATAAAAATCATCACAATTGTTGAATCTGATTGTACTTTTCTTTCATGTCCATCTGGTTATTTCTTGGGTCTTTCTTTTTTTTAGAAGTTAACAATTTGCGCATTTCTGAGGCACTCATGTTGAAGTTCAAATCACTAGAAGTACTAAGGCCATTCTGACTGGGCTTGCTTGAATGAGGAGAATCAGGAGCTAAGCCAGTGTTCCCATGGCTTAAGTTGACATTGTCTGCATTTTGAGGTAGGCTTGAGGATGTTGACTCTGCCAAAGCTTTGTTCTAGTAATAAAAATACACAAAATACATACACTAATATCAGAAATGCAAATATACAAGTCTTAGCTTCTTATCAAAAGCATTTGACTTTCAGATTTTCTAATAAGCTGCTGTATGAGATCTCAATTAGTTGGGTTAATCTAGAATTAGGAGAAATTAATTAAAATAACAATTTAAAACCTACTTTCTAGATGTAGTAAAAACAAATAAATTCTAAGGCTAGTTTTGAAAATTGTAATTTAGTAAAGTGTGACTAGGTTTGGGAAAGCTAGATTTTTCAATAGCCATATGGGCAAGGTGCCACCAGGGACAGTGGGCTAAGAGACTTAAATGTAACATTAATACTAGAAATTATTGAAAGAAATAAGTTGAGATGTTATGGTGATATACGACTGAAAATATGTAGATACTCAAAGAAGTTCACAAACTGGGAACCACAAGGAAGAAAACCACCTGGAGACCAGTTTTGAACTTCTTAATGTATAATAAATATTTATATGGTAAAAATGGTGGATGGAAGGATTACTACAATATTATCTACTTTAATTTAAGATATATGAGCTAGAAGGACATGCTCAGAGGCTTAGACTTGAGTTCACTGGAGCATAAACAAACTAGGTGTCAAATTACATAGATATTACTACAAAGATTGCCCATGCATCTTTTGGTTGGAGAGCACAATGATAAGGTAGGAAATTAAATATCATATAACACATACACACTTTGAAATTTCAGATATATTATTTGCACATAAGCATTATTATGGCATGATTTGCTCAAGGGTGTAGGGTGCGTTGTTAGTTAAAATTAATTGAAAAAGTTTGCTGAATAATTATAAGGATGTGAATGACTACATTCAGCTTGGATTAATGGTCTCCGTTTTGCTTAGAGTGAAATGATTACTATATAAATGGGCTGAGTGATGTATATTCCACCACCACCTACATTAGGTCTTATTTTTTTAACATTTGGACATGTACTTATACCATGTAGTCTAATGAATCACTTCAAATTTACCATGACATGCCTCCTCACAGTATCAATTGATTACGCATAAAATAATAACATTCATCTGACATTTTGAGAATTGGCTTTATTTTTTCTTAAACCGATTTTCTTCAGTGATAACACTAGATTTTAAAACTAAAAGTGTAAAATTATTATATTTTCTTTTTTGATTGACAGAAAAACTTAAAACTGTAATTTCACCTTCTTAATATATACTTTAATCAAAGGATACACACACACACACACACAGAGAAAAGCAAGCAATATCTACACAAAACCAAACAATATTTACACACACACACACACACACATAAATATAAACACTTACAGAAGATACTAGTTCTTCTTTTGATGAACCATTTATATTCATCCCTGGTGATTTTTCGACTTTGTCCATTTCTCTTTCATTTTCAGTTTCATTGAAACTTGTTTCTTTGACAGGCCTTTTTGTTGGGGTTTTTAAAAAGATGACGTTACTCTGTCCACTTTTAACTACTACGTTGTTTTCTATATACCACTTTTCAGCTTCTGGATCTACAACCAATAAATTGGTTTCATTTGGAATGCATTTTATTCTTTCAACAACTTGCTTGTGGTTTTCATTTGCAACATTTACCCCATTTACCTCAATAATTCTATCTCCTTCCCTTAGACCACCAAACTCAGCAGGGCTAGCTTCATCAATCTTGCCAATGTATTGTCCATGTCTAGACTTTTGTGAATGCAAGTTAAAACCGTAACCTTCAAAATCTGGCCATTTTATAATATGACATAGTCTTGGCGCTGGCGCATCGGGTGGAAGTTCCGAAGACATGTTTTCTAACCCTGCTAGCTGTGAAATAGGCTGGTTTTTCTCTTCTATTTTACGGCCTCTACTCTAGTGCTATTGCCTGTAAAGTGTAATTCTTTTGGAGTAGTAACACTAGTATAAGTGACGTTAGTATTAGTAATTACTATTTAGTACTACATCAACTATTAATTGTTACTAGCGTTAGTAATACTAATATTACTAACTTACTTGTATCACTACTATTTGTTTAGCTTAAAAAATTAAACAAAGGTACATTGACCAAACTCCTATAATTTTATAATATAGTATAAATTAACATTAACTGATAAAGGTACCAAATATTGTACTTCCTGTCTTACAAAACACCTGATCGGTTGAAGCAACAAATTTTCATTAAGGTTCTGTCAAGTATCACAGTTTTAAGCCATCAATACTGCTTGACACTGTGACTCTAAATCTATCATTGATAGAAACAAAATCTTATCACTATAGTATAAGTTATACCCCTACAACTTATAAGTCACCGCAGATACGGTTTTCTCACTGGTACGTCAGAAAAGATGTTGTTTCGTAGAGGGCGCCCAAATATGAGGCAATATCTGATAATACAATTTTTATTTTTCTTGTAACGTGGCGTCATCTGTTAGCACACATAAGCATGTAATAAATCAATTCGTTTCAGTTTGTTTGTTTGTTTTTTGAATTTTCACGCAAAGCTACACGAGGGTCATTTGCGCTAGCCGTCCCTAATGCAGCAGTGTAAGACTAGAGGGAAGGCAGCTAGTCATCACCACCCACCGCCAACTCTTGGGCTACTCTTTTACCAACGAATAGTGGGATTGACCCTCAAATTATCATGCCCCACGGCTGAAAGGACGAGAATGTTTGGTGTGACGGGGATTCGAACCCGCGACCCGCAGATTGCAAGTTGAGCGTCCCTAACCACCTGGCCGTGCCGGACCCATTCGTTTCAGACATAACTATGTAGCCAAAAACATCATAAACATTTGGAAACAAGCATAAAAAACACACAAAATAAACAGCAAAGCTACTTTTATTCAAAAACCGTGCACTAAAATCAAAGGTCATCTAAGGAAAGTTTATTTGGATAATTTCGCCCCTCAGTGGCACAGCGGTATGTCTGTGGAATTATACTGCTAGAAACCGGGTTTCGATACCTGTGGTGAGTAGAGTCCAGATAGCTCTTTGTTTAGCTGTGTGCTTAATAACAGACAACTGCAACATAAGCATTAGGATAAAAGAACATAACAATTCCCCATCACACATTTACGAACACAACAAATCAACATCCAATTAACATTATCAACTTTAAAATATTATGCAATGAGAACAACATTAATAGAAGAAAAATAAAATAAGCATTAATTATTCGTGAAAAAAACCTAATTTCATTCAAAACAGATGTCACCTCATATATTTTCTAAATTGGAGCAAAATTTTCGGGCAGTATTTCACAAAATACATAGTTACCTGATGATGGTCAAACGAGTGGTTGAAATGTGTAAAAAAGTTAAATAAAAATAAACAATACACTCAAAGTTGTATCTTTGGACTTTTATTTAAAGTGTATAATATATTTTCTTTCTTCACAACAAATATTATAACATTATTGCTTAAAAAGATGGTGATTCACGATCTATGTCCTCGGGTGAGTCGGCAATAAATTTACGGATTTACAGTGCTAAAAACTGTGATAGCAGGGCGCAGATAGCCCATTGTCTTACTATGATATGAAGAGCCGTGGTTTGAGTTATACCAACTTCCTACTTTGAACCGTGACCTCTCATCTTCATGGCCAGGTGGTTAGGGCGCTCGACTCGCAATCTGAGGGTCGCGGGTTCGAATCCCCGTCACACCAAACATGCTCGCCCTTTCAGCCTGGGGCAT